ACCCTCTATGTTTTTATTTAACTCTTTAGACTTTTGCTAGGAGACCTCAGATATAAATCCCTAAATGCTTTACTGGGACGAGTTTATATATCCGTCAATGGAATACTGTTCAGCAGTAAAAAGGAACAAACTGATACATGCTAGAATATGGATGACCCTTGAAAACATTACGCTAAGCAAAAGAAGCCAGTTACTTTTATGATTCCATTTTAAGTGAAATGTCCAGAAGAGACAGATCTAGATAGGAACTAAAAGTAGACCCATGGTTAACTGTGACTGGGCAGTGGGGAGAGGGGTTTACTCACTGGAAATGTACATAGGGGGTCTTATTAGGATTATGCAATTGTTCTAAAACTGGACTGTGGTGATGTTTACACAACTCTGTAAATTTACTAAAAATCATTGCATTGTATACTTAAGACAGGTGAATTTTATGGTATATAAATTGTACTTTGATAAAGGTGTTAAAGTTTTTTAATGCAGATTTTAAAATAAATAGGATAGATGGAAAGAGTATGGGCTTATTCAACTCTTTCTAATTGCGTCAACATTGGAAAACAGGACTACTCAAGTAGGGGGAGCATGATTTATGGGAAGAAAAAACAATTCTTGAACAGTTGAGGCCCAAACTACTGTACATAAGTGTCACATTCAGCTGGGTGTTGGAAATTTCTACTAGTACAAAGAGAGAAATATTTCCTCCTTTACCCTTCCCACATACAATCTATCACTGAGACCTTCTGATTCTAATGTCTTCCCTCATCAACCTACCTTCCCATTCTTACAACCTTCACTTTAATCAAGAACCACACCACTGTCTTCCCACCCACTGTAGTGAACTGGCCCCTGGGGAAGGTATTCCCTAGTGGGATACCTAGGCAAGGACAATGGTAGTGAAAGCTGAACTCAAAACTTGACCAGAACTGACAGAGATTTTGTGTAGGTGCTCTTTCCTCCCCTACAGCTGGCTGTGCAGATCCCCATGAGGCCTTGCTCTGTTTTAGTCTGAAATTAGATGTGTCTTTCTCTAAAACACAATTATAGCTAGGCATGAGTCAGCCAGGAAAAAAAGCCAGAGGGGGGTAGAAGGGGAGAGTGGCTGGAAGGAGTTGGAGAAGAGATTTTCTGTGGGAATTTGGCAACCAAATTTCAGCCTAAAAATCCTACCTGCAATCTTATGATAAAACTGTAACTCAGTATAACTCAGCTCTTAGAATTTACTAAGACTTTATATGTTGAAGCCTCAGGAGGATAGGAAAGCCAAGGAACACATCTCAGGCAATATGCCTGTGTACCCAGTAAGCTAGGAGAGTAGCTGGGGCCATGGGAGCGCTGGAGGAGTTAAGGAAAAGTATTTTCCTCTGGAGGGTGTAGGCAGATGAGCTGGCATTAAACAATTGCAAAACAATTGCAAACACTCTTATAATCCCCGATTATCTAAAGTGTCTCCTTAGGACACAGCAAAGAAGTGGCAAGTGGGAATAAGGGGAACTGAATTTTGCCCTAGGATGGTGGGGGTTTAACTGGCATTGGTTGGTTCGATTGGCAGTGATGTTTACAGTCATGGCCGCTTATAAAGGCAGAGGCTTTTCAAAACAAAGAGGGAAGAGATAGAAAATACCAGGTTAATCAAGCTTCTTCCATTTCAGAGACTTTAGAAAATAGCCCTGGTTGAGTGTGAAACTATGTGGCATGCCAAGGGACAATAAGTTTGTAAGATTCCCTGCAAACCAGGGCCTCAATCTTTCCAATGAGGAGGGTGAAGCCAACGACCCATCTGGTCTTCCTGAGCCAATTCAGAGAGGCCCAGGGCTGTCTCTAGGCTTTTCTGATGGGAGGCCAGAGAACTCTGACGTGGTTCTTGACCACAGGCTTGGCCTCCACTCTGGCTGAAAAGAAATCCACAGCTTTTTGAGGAGATTCAGATGGTGGTCCAGAGCCTTGTTTTTTCCCTTACTCCCCACAAGAGGCCCTTTCCCCAACCACTTCAATCCACAATGATCTCTTCTTCTTCAAAACCTTACATGATTTACTGTCTGTATGCTTGAAAATAGCATTTCTTATATCTGGCATTAATTTATTATTTAACTGTTTGATAGCTCAATATCCATATCTTCAACTAGAATGGGAGTGCCTCACCCCAGGCCATGTCTGTATCTTACACAGATGCTGGCATAAAGTAGGTACTCAATAAGTGTTTCTCAAGTGATTCTCCCTTTGGGCTTAATTAAGACTAAGCTCACTGTATGCTCTCAAAAGGGAGAATTTGGATCAATAGCATCAAGACAGTAAGGAGAACTAACCAGAGGGAAGCAACCTATTTTAGCAAAAGAGACACAAACAACTGTGTCTCCCTAAAATGGCAGTATGGTAGAGTGAAAACTAATGTGGGCTTTGCAGTCAAACCTGGATTCAAATCCTAGTTAGTAGTCTGATCCTGGGCAAATGCTTACCTTTTCTCTGAGGCTCAGTTTCCTCATCAACAAAATGGACATAGTATCTAACTTTATCTTTTAAACTAGAAAAAATATATCAATATATTTAAAATACCTACCTTGCTCATCTGCACTTGTCTTATTAGGGAGACTACTTCATGACTTCATGGACAATGTAGATGCCTGACCACTAGGCTGCACTGTACACCTGAAGCTGAAGCTGAATAATATTGAATGTCAAATATATATATATATATATATATATATATATATAGAGAGAGAGAGAGAGAGAGAGAGAGAGAGAAAGAGATGATATTGATATAGATATAGATATTCAGAGGATGTGGAGTACAGCATAGGGAATAAAGTCAATGGAATTGTAACAGCTATGTATGATGTCAGATTGGGGAAGGGGTTGTCACTTTGTGAGGGATGTAAATGTCTAACTATTACATTCAGGTTTTGTACACCTGAAACTAATTAGAAAAAAAGATACCTACTTTGCTAAGCCATGGCAAATAAGAACAGAATGAAAAAATGTATAGAAAGCTCCAAACACAGTATCTGGGCCCATAGTGGGCATGCCATAAATGCTGACTCATTTTCTACCCATCCCCATTCACACTCTCTTTCTGGAAGAGGTAATGCTTGCCTTATAAGTGACATGGAGTATTGCCACAGTTATTAATTTTGCCTTTCCTGCTAATCCACCTAGAATTCAATCCACAGAATTTGAAAGATGAAGTCAAAGGACAAAGGACTGAACAAAACAGAGGAGGAAGGATGTGTCAAAAGACTGGCTAGTATAGGAAGCACTGTCAGCTTGGTTCGCATCTGGGGAATGGTTTCATGTGAGCTTGCAATTTTGCTACCCATTGGATCTCCTCCCACCTCCTCCAGAACCTCACTCCTATTAATCATTCCTTCTTTCTTCTGTGTCTTCAACCTCTTCTTCTTTACTGTTTACTCCTCAATCTATAAATGTGTTCAAGTCTGTCCTATTTATAAAGATCCTCCCCCAGAAAACCTCCCTTGATTTCCTGCCTCGTTTTTAGCTACTTCTGCCTTACTGATCTCCTTTCTTTTATACCCAAGCATCAGAAAAGGGTGGCACCCCTCATTATCACCATCCATTCATAAGAGTGGCTCCCAGACAACTTAGCTCTATTTTCTCCATGCATTTCTGGGAGGGGAGGGATCTTCCCTCTCTGCATACCCAATTAGTGCCTAGTGAACATTGCTCATGTTTCCCAGGTTTTATTGTAGGTCAATGATATGCAGGAATGTCAACAATTAGAGGCACATAGTCAGAAGGAGTATAACCTTCTTTCTGATGGAGAGACTTCTCCAGGTCTGATACTCTCAATAGCTATCATACTTTATGGGCAAAACCTGAGACATGTCATTTGAATCGCATAGAACACAGGAGGCTTGAAAGTTACCCATGTATCTTGGCACCTCCTGGTGGCAACCAACATAAACTGAAGTAGCTCTTATTAGAACTCCGTTTACAAATTTAAGCTGTGGAAATTGCAACTGAAGAGTGATAGCTTGTTTAGGCATCTACATAAGCTCTCACTCTTCAGTTGCGATTTCCACAGCTTAAATTTCTGAACAGAGACATGTCTAACTATTACATTGTTTTGTACACCTGAAATTAATAATAAAAAAAGAGTGTTATCTTGTTTACGGAAGAAGGAAAACCTTGAGTTGCTGACTGACGTGGTTCCATAATAGTACACAAAAATGCACACCACTAAGTAGGATCATAGTATCTTCAGGATATTGTGAAGGTCCAGGAATTTGCATTTTGTAATAGCCCTCTGTGGCCTATATTCCTGGTCATCCACTTTGGGAAAGAACCCAGGTAGCCCATCCTTCTATCTAGTTATACCTTTGAGACATAGCAAGGTTGTGATTTATTCTCCAGACTCTATTAGCTATCATTTAATGCATTGAGCTCCCACTTGTATAGGACTTCTGAAGGGATCCTGAGGCTTGTTTCAGAGACAACATAGAGGTGTTCCACAAAGAACCATAGTAATTATTAATAGGTGGTGAAGAGCTGCAGTCCTACTTGGATCCCACTTGGCTAATTGTGGGAGGATACTGGTGATGGTATCCAAAGAGAAGCAAAAAAAACTCCCTCCCCAAAATGCAAAGTCCATTTTCTCCTTATAGAGTTTATTTCACTTATGCTCACCCTATAAGGAGTTGTTCTCCTCACTTGTGTGAGATTATCTTGAAGTTGCTATGATAGGTAACTCAGGAAAGAGACACATTTATTGTTTTTTGAGTCACCATGTTTATGTTTATTCAAATGATCTTCCAAATTAAAACAATCATGGTGTATTTATTTTTTGTTGTTCTTTTAAAATGACTAAATTTGACTAAAATTTGATTCATCAAACTAAAGCCAGAAACACAGATTACTAAAACTTCCCCTTTAAAGTTGTCTCCTAAATTGGTCTACATGAAGGAGGCTGTGTGAGCGAAATAGAGGACCAAGTAGAGTTACGATGAAAGAGATAAAGAGGGAGACAGAAATTGAAAAAATAAATTTACCTGGGGACGTTTCCACACCACTTTTCCGGGAAGCAGTCGGTTGTAAAAAAGTGAATCATTCTCAGGCAAAAAGGTTGGATCACAGAAAAGTCTACCATCTTTGATGCATTCCTGCTTCAGTTCCTGGTACTTCTGGTCTTTGAAGAGCTTCAGAGGAGGACCCATAGCGTCAAACTGTCTAGAATGAGAAAAACTGTTGTTATTAGAGGAAGTTCTCAAGTCTTTTAAAGATTACCTGAGATTAGACAAATGGTTGTTATCCCAGTGACTTATTCCTGCAGGTGGACACTTCAAGTTTGGTTTCAATGGAAAAGTCACCATTTACATGGAAAGATGGGTCCAGGTTCTACAACTAATTAGTTTGGGTCTTTGGGTAGGGCACCTAAACCATTCTGTGGCCTCAGGTTCTTTATTTGACAAATGAGGTAATATGGGCCTTAATAATCTTATTGGAAAATAAATAATAAATGCTAAGATTGCTAGTTAAATGTGAGTCATTATAATTTAAAGAACAATCTTCCATTTTACACAGGCAAGGAGAAGTTCATGGCAAATAATTTGAAGATGGAGAAATAAATCACTTTACTATATTCAGAATAAGTTAGTGCCCTGAGGGGCCACACACTTTGTGCTCGAAGGGAGAAGCAGCCCCTTTCACTTCTAACAAGCCCATTCACACAGTCCCTTCCCTTTTATTGTTAAAGATTTTGCACTTTTATCATTGGCCAGGAAGGCTAATGTAAGAAACAGAGCTGAGCAAATGACCTCCAAAGACAAGGAAAGATAGAAAGATTGTGTGTGGCTTTCTTCTTCAAAGTTTAATGTGTAATCATTTTCCCTTGATAAATGGCAGACTCTGAAATTCAATTACACTGATTTTGTGGACTCTAGATTCTTATCCCATGGCAATACACTGCTGCTTCCTTTAAAAACAAATCTCACATGACTAAATAGAGAATTAATATAGTGGCTCTTCAGGCAATGTGTATTGGAGTGTCCCACTCTCAAATGCCCCTAACAACTGTTTTTTTATGAGGAGATTTGAAAGGCAAATTTGGTTTTAAATAGCTCTGGGGTCATAATAGGATTTTCAATGCCTTTATTTGATTCACAAAGATGGATTTGTAATGATTTTTATGATCCTCTCATGGCATTCAACAGTAAATAAGAGGGGGGTTGTGAAATATACATGGCATCAATTATTTAAAAATATTTTTTAAGGATAACTATATTGTATAATTATATGAAGGTACAAACTAAAAAATCTAAAGTCAGAGTATCTGCTAAAAATGGACAAAATTTGAAAAAAAACAGCTGATTATCACTTTAAAGAGTAATAAAGCAGTAGTTGCTATTTTATAAAAATTATAATGTTAGACCTCTCTATCTTATTTTATGTCCTTTCAGTATTACATTGAAATGCCTTATTGATAGAGAAGTCTCCCAATTTGAAAACCATAAAATATTTTAATTTAATGTTATTTGCAACCTACAATATTTGTAAACAAACATAATTTTTCTGAATCCAAGTATTAAGAAGTTGGAAATAACCAGTTTTTCCATTGACAATTGTTTTTCAAATTGAAGGCTATAGGACACTGCAAAATACAGAAATGCCTTCAGCCATCAGATTTAAGTCCGCTCACGTGTTTTAAATGTTAAAATGTATTTCATTGTATTTGAAGTCATGGATGGTATCAGTAATAATTTTTCATTAAACAGTATCAGCGTTAATCTGAATGCTTGCCCAGGCATTTTTTCTGGAGCCTGTTACAAATAGACCCCAATATTCATATGTGCAAAACTTATAACAAACACTGCTGTGCCTCTTGTTTTTTTCCTGGAAAGTTTGGTGGGTTGTCAGAGGCTGGAGACTGTAAATGTGGGATAGCCTGGGGCAATTAGGATATTTAGTTTGCCAGAACTTCCTAGTCCCTGATCACTTTGGATAAATGAGTATTTCCTGTTCCTGGGAAGGCCCTCTTCCCATCAGGCTCCCTTGCTACTCAGTCAAATGTCAAGGCAAGCAGGAGCCTATAAAGATGATACTGTTATAAAAAAGGGCCTGTCTACATGCTGAAGCAGTATAATTTGAAAAGAAAATCAAGTTTGATTGCAAAAATCAGTATGATCCCAGTAGGCTCTTTCAGAAGCAGAATGTACAGCTGGTATGGACAGGTCAAGCTTTTTGACCTGCATTTCGGGGGTGCACGGTAAATAAAGACTAGCAGGCTATCAGCTTGAACTCTGACAGATTTTCATTAGAGTACAATTGTAGTCTGACTTGCAGAGTAGAATTGACCCCCATTCTGACTAGGTTATTAATACAACTGTGTTTCATTTGCTGTGACCTTGGTTTTTTTGTTCCTCAATTTTCTCATTAGGGGAATGGGGTTATCTACTCTGCCCTTCTTACACTGTGGCTGTACCTATTGAAATGGTTAGTGTAAAACTATTTTGAATCAGTAGAAAGAGCTCCATAAATGCAAGATACACATTGTAAGCCCTCTCGTTGCCTGGCACAGAGCTGGGCACATAACCCACTGTTCAGCAAATATTTGTTGAATGGGTGAATGTCTTACACAGAAAATGAATGTTTATATGGCAAGTCATTGTTGGAAATGTATATTTTAGTTCACGTTCTCTAAGCATGGCACCCATGTTTAGTAGATATTATCTGTGCCCTTCATTTTGTATCTGCAGAAATGGCAGCTCAGAGAAGGGGCACCTAGAAACCTGCACAGCCGACTCAAACCTGGGTCTGTGTAATGCCAGATGTAGTGTGCAGCTTTCCATCATACCACACTGCTTCTTTCGGTCACTGCCTTTTCAAAGAAGGGGTATATATATTGTTTAGCTCAAATAAGGAAAACCCTTCAAAGCAAACATCATACCTAACTTTGAGGCATTCTGCCTAGAATTCATTGTCATGGTGGTTATTAAAAAAGTTTCTTATTTCCATGGCTTGATCATCACTGGAGAATCTGAACCCTTCACATCTGAGGGTTCATCAGTTAACCTTCAGAAAACTTTGAAAACCCAGAAATTGGTTACTTGGGTTTGTCAAACAACTTGCCCTGTCAAAGGATAGGAGAGTGGAGAAGGAAATTTTCTTGCTTTGCTATCTTGCTGCACTCAACTGTGAAGACACGTGTGCCTTCAGGTTAACAACCACATACTAACAAAGTCGGTAAACAGAATCAAATCTCGGTCTTTTAGCTGTGGAGGCAGGATGTTGAGTACAGCATAGAGAATAGAGTCGATGGAATTGTAACAGCTATATAGACTGTCAGAAAGGTAGATTGGGGGAGGGACGTTATCACTTTGTGAGAGGTGTAAATGTCTAATTATTACATTGTTTTGTATACCTGAAACTAATAAAAATAACTAGGGTTTTTAGGAATAGAGCTCTAGCTAACAAATAGCTAACAAAGGGAATATGCACATCTAAGAAGTGGGACGCTGTGTCCTGAGGGCAAGTATCATGGGGTGGTTGGGTGAAGCAGAGTGTGGGGTTTTGCACTGAGCAGTACTATTTTAATTGGGACCCACCACCTAGCGGTAGAGCTGGAGGAAGGCTGAGTGGATCTAGGCAAATGGGAGGGGTGGATGCAGAGTTTGGAAAGTTGAGAATTGTCAGGGAAAGTTGAGGGAGACTCCTTCCACATAGGACACAAGGCTGCAGGAAGGAGAGAAAACGTTTGCTACTCACTGCACTGGAAAGCTTGGGGAGCTGGGCAAACTCTTAAGAGGACTATCACTTGTTTTTTACCTGTGGGTTAGCTTGAAAATAGAAACCAGATTTTCCTCTAAAAAGTGAACTCTGCCTCCGTTTATTAAAGAGAATTAGAACTGATAGAGGAAACCCAGTCTGCAGTTTAATACAAACTGCTGTTGGATTGCAGTGAATGAGAGGGTAAGGGAGGGTATTTAAGGGGGAGAGAGGGAAAGAGCATGGTTTCAGGGGTGCTGCTCCTGGATAGTTTCTCCTTTTCCCCAGTTTTGCCCTTGTGCTATACTTGGGACAAAACCGGAGGTAAAGGCAATTAGGAGTTTTTACAAAGCAAACTAAATATAGAAGACCCAAGTCTGCTCTGGCATAAAGTAGAGTTCACTTCAGCCACAATCAACAGTTCCTTTCCTCACACATGGGGGTAGTGTGTTGAGAGAAATGGGGATTGGAGAAGGAGACAGAATAACAATTCAGCACCCATATTACACAGAGAATAGTGCTTTCCATGTCTACACAGGCAGTCCACTCACATCTATGGATAGGCATCTACCAGGAGACATATGGCTGTTCAGATTCAAATTGTTAGCCAGATATTCTGGGGTCTGAAAAGGACCATAAAAATTCTCTGTTCCAGCCTTATGTAGGACATATCTATTCTGCCCAGAGAGAAGACTCTGTTCAAAGAAATTAGAAGAAAAACAAGAGCACACACCTTTCTTTAATTCCATTGTTGAAAACCGCTATCAAAAAATAAGAAGCAAAAAAACCCCAAAAGAAGCAATTCAGAATCATAAAAAAACCCCAGGTGGTCAGAGGATCCAGGATCAAGTCCCAAATACTGCCATTTAATGTACGTAATATCTCTGTTCCTCAGTTTTCCCATAAGCACAATGGGAATATGATGGCTGTCCCCTACATCTCTAGGTGTTATTCAGGGAATCTAATAAAATTAAGTACATGAATATACTTATTAACTGTCAAGGATAAGATTAATGTAAGACAGTAGTATTAGGAAACAGTCTTTATGTTGGAAAATTAAATCCCTTTTCTGTTCTTAGCAGAAAATGAGGAGATTTGATCACATGCTTTAAATAAGATACTCAAGGACATTTAAAAGACCAACATAAAATGGCTTCTCCACCATTCAATACTGCCTCTCTTTTCCACCTCTCCTTTTTGGTTGACTTGCCCCAATACCCGTTTTTTCCCTCTTGCATGAATAAGCTCATCCTATAAGTCTAATTTTATAGCCTTTCAAGAATCTATTCCCAATTTTTATAGAATGTGATGCTGGAAGGACTCTTAGAAATCATTTAACCCAAATACTTACTTTCACTGGAAGGTGAAGGGACTTGCCCAAGGTTGCATAGTTAATGACATAGCTGACACTAAAACCTGGACTGGCTGGCACTTTTCACCACAACTTTTTAAAATGGGGTGGGGGGACATGTGCAAACACAAAACCTGAAGACATTGCTTTGGAAAATTCTCATTGTCTTCTTCTTACAAGAATGTACTTAAGAGTTTTATTTTTGAATTGCAAGCTGTCAGAAGGTGAGATGATTTCAAATCAAGGCTAATCAAAGAAACACTGTTTTGGGGTCACAAAGGGGCTTTTTCTGCCTTTAATTTAGGAACTGAAACCTCCCAAGGATACATAAAGCTTGCTTTTTAACCTATTCCTGACTACACAAGTGTGTTTAGACTTTTCCCTAGACTGCTGAGGACTCTAAGGGTAAATAAAGACTGCTATTCAAATTCAAAGTATTCACACACACACACACACACACACGCGCGCGCGCATGTGCACACACGTACATGCACGCAAACTGCTAGAGGAATAAAAGTTTAATTAACAGCCCCCAAAAGAATCTTTTTAAAAAATTCTTTTAGAATATTAAATATTCTTCATTTCACAACAAAGATTAGCAAATGAGACATTAGCCAAATTTCAATAAAACATTAGTATAAACCAGGATGCTTTATCCTAAAGCCAGAGGTGACTGTCAGGAAGGTAGAATTTGTTTACTTTTCCTCTGTGCTTTTCACCAAACTTCAAGCTCTAAATCCTCACAACCAATGTTCAGTTGCAATGCTCCAGTCCCTTTTTTGCCCTTCCCTGGCCTACTTTGGTCAAGTAGCCCAGTTAAACCCCTAGAACACCAGTGGCAGTGGAATGTGCTCAGGGTGGGAAAATAGAGCACCAACTGAAAATTAAAGTTTAATCCAAAGCAACAATCAGAGAAGAACAAAACCAGGCCAGCCAGGGGCTGAAAAGGAAATAGCCAAGATCAATCTGTCACCAGAGCAAGAAGATGCCTGGCTGTGCAGACAGGACAGCCTCTGCTGCCACTCCCTCCTGTCCAACAGTACACAGTTCGTGCACTCCACTTCCAGAGCTTAAAGGACTTTTGTACACAGTGTAGTTCCAAGATTTTGCCTGCATTTCAATAATTTGCCCACAGCTGTGGGTTAGCAAAAGCTGGAATGAAGCCTTGGCAGTCAGCTTGCCCTCTCATTTGCCCAAGGAAGGTTTGTCCTTTCTTACCAGGGATTTCGGATAACAGGAGACAAAAAAACCCAAAACAAACAAACAAACAAAACAGAAATCACCAGAACAATCTCATTGCCAAACAACCACAATCACTCAACATCCCCCCCAAAGTAACAAATCAAATAATTCCATTAGTTTGGAAGCTTCAAAACTACTATTACACATGCACATTGGATTCAGACAAATCATAAAATTATAGTTGTGGATTTTGATTAACTGTAAAGTTCAAGTTTCATCATCTTTTTTATACACCAAGTTATCCAACAAATAAAATTCCAGGACAAGTTTGCAAATGCCCTCTCTACTCACCTGAGTTATCCCACTTTCTGCCGCCGCCGCTCCAAGCCGCCGCTCCTAGCCGCCGCTCCTAGCCGCCGCCGCTCCTAGCCAGGTAACCCCTACAAAATCGGTTCAGTTAATGCAGCTGAACAAAGATTCTGGCTTTCTTAACCTGAAAACTATTTGGGCTGTACCAAGCTTGCTCACAGGGGGAGGTGACTCGCAGAAACTTCAGGAGTCTTTGCCCCGCCTAGCAGTCAGAAACTGATCCCTGTAGTCAGAAACTGAGTCATGAGGAAAATCTGGAAAGCACCCCTGCCAGATGTGCAGATGGCATGCCCACTCCGGACCCACCCACCAGCAAATTGGAAAACCCAGGAAGCCACGTTTGAAAGCTCTTTCTCTTCCAAGGAGAAATAAGACTTTTCTGTCCCAGGGTTAATAGTGCAAACATAGACATTACTTGAGAAACAGCATGGCAAGAAAAATCTTGAAGTGTTGGCAGTTCTTGTGGGCTAGGCTGCAGACATGGTCCTTGTACATGGAACTATGATAGTGATGAGGACTTCAGCAAGCGAGTGGGAGCGAAAGGGGAGCTAATGGGGTGCAGGAAAGAAAAGGTTGCTCTGTGAAGTAACAGGTTACATTTGGTCAAGGGAAGAGAATAGGAAGCATTAAGAGGGAGGTGAATGGAGTTTGATTCTATGGCAGTTGTAAGCATCTTAACTTCTAGCAACAGGGCTGTGGAGATTTTGCCTGGCAGTGTTAGGTAAAAAGCAGAGTATATAACTGTGTTTTCTCTGAAAGACCAACAAAGAGGCTTCATTCAACAGGATCCTATGAAATACTATACTGCATCCCAGTCAAGGACCTGTTCCTTGAGACATTCACTGAGACACAACTCCAGGGATAAAATTCTCAAGTTGTTTTAATTGTTTTAGTTTTTACATGTCATTTAATTTTCATCTCATCCCCCCCCCCCCACACTCCCAACCAATGTGGTGTTAAACTTTTGACCTGAAATTACCACCCTTATCCCTGCCTTAATTCTTCTTTTGGAGAGTCAGCGAGGAAGGGATGGAGAGAGGGAGAGAGGGAGAGAAGGAAAGAGGGAGAGAGGAGAGAGAAGAGAAAAGAGAGAGAAAGAAACACAAGTGAGCAAGGGGAAGCCTAAGAAGGAAAGGAAGTGTGCTCTCCCTACTCACTGGCCCCATACCAATATTTTCATGCAACATTTGAGCAGTTTTATAACTGGCCTCTGAGACTTGCCACTTCACATTTCCTCATAGCTTCCTCAGAGCCTTTTCTCCCTCTATGCCAAGACAGAGTGCAAGACAGAGTCCAGGAGAATTAGGTCTTCAAATACTGGCAACCAGTTTGGTTCCTGAGGGACAGATTTCTCACACAGAAGTATCCCCCATGTTGTGGGATTTTGGCTTTGAAACCAAGGGAGGGTGTCTTGTCTGAGCCCATCTTCTCCAGTCATCTTTGCCACCTCCATAATTTTCATTAAATATGGACTCATAGAGGCCACATCTACCCTACTGCTCCATGCAGAACTATCTTCCTCATAATCTGTAAAGCTTATCCCTCTGGGAAGCAGCTTGTTCCACGTTTAGATGACCCCTGATGGTTAAAAACTTATTCTTTAGGTAGAGCAAAACTAAGCATTGCACTAACTATTTCTAATTCCTCTTTCACATGACCTTTAAAATTTCTGTCATGTCACCCTCAGTCTTCTGTCCTCCAGGCTAAATATCCTCAATTCATTTAAACCATGCTTCACAGGACATGGTTTCCAGATCTTTTGCCATCCTAGTTGTCTTTTGAGCATAGATCTGCTCTGCTCAGTATGTAACCTTTAGCTCATTTAAAACTCTGTTTTGATTCTTGCATGAGCTACTGTTTATTTGCCTGATTCTATGCTTATACAATTGATTTTTTTTACAATTGACTTTTATTTTAACCCAGATGCTGCTCTTTACATGTGTCCTCAATAACCATCGCCTTTATTTCAACACTTAACGATTTCTCTAAATCTCGTCTGGAATATCATATTCTCTATACAAATGTTTCTCAACCTTTTTAATTATCACATCCCTAAAGAATCTTTTTAGACATTTCCGCTATTCTTTCCCCATGAAATTTTAATAATACAGATATGCTTTATATATGTTTATGTACTGTATGTATATCTGTGCTTTATGTATAATTTTTTTTCCTCCTTTAGAGCCAATTTTTGCCTTCTTGGGGGTGATTTCACCCCTACTGAGAATGTATACGCTATATCACCAAGTTTCTTTTATCTGCATATTTGATCAACCAGACTAATAAAAGTATTGAATGACTTAGGGTACAAGACAGAATACCACAGCACAACCTTTGAGCCCTCCCCTTATTAACAATCACTTTTAATAAGGTTATTCAAACATAAAGCAATCCATGTAACTTTCACTACCACCCAGCTCTTACTTTTCTATTTTCTCCATGAGGATACCATAAGACTTTTTCAAATGTCTCGCCAGAGTTCAGATACATTATGCTATAGTATTCCTTCACTGACTCTTCTAGATACACATCCTAAAAGAGGAAATGGGCTTAGTCAAGCATGACTCCCCATTAGTGAGCTCATGCTTACACTTAGTGATTTCCACTCCCTTTCTAAACCCTCAACAATGATCTGTTTAATGGTGCATGCTATACTTTTGCCAAAGACCAATGCCATGTTCACTGGTCTACAGTTTCCAGAATCTACATTTCACACCCTGCAAAACTACCACCTCTTCTCTTTCACTAAAAAGTGGAACGATGTTTGTCTAACTGTTTGCATATCTTATTTCTTCCTTTTGCCATAATTTCTCATAGGTTACTGGCTCTGTGATCACATATGCACATTCTCTGGTAGCCTCAGATGTAATTTGTCTGGGCCTGGAAACTTGAACTAATGAAAGGAAGCTAATTCCCCCCTTATTAGCTCCTCATTTATCTTGAGGTTAAGTCTCTTTCCAGTTCAAAGATCATGCTCCTGATGGAGAGGTCTAGTAACTTGCCCACAGTCACACACCTAGGAAATTGACAGAGCTAGAATTTAAATCCCGCCCTGTCTGAATCTAAATTCTGGCACTTAACCAGTGTCCTATGTAGCTTTCAAGTATCTAATAATGGCATGGCCCACGAATGCTATGAGAGAGAGAGAG